CGCGAATGCCGAAAGCCCGTTTCGGGCTGGTGGCGACACACCCTAATATCATGAAAAGACAGCACACCAAATTTGAGAGCAAAATTCAAAGGATAGCTATATGAACCACTAAAAGAATGTTTAGAAAAATAAGGCAATAAAGAAATAGAAAACGGCCTCTTTTTGAAAATCTGAGCGTGGCCAATGGACTCTATTGATTAGCAGGTGATAGATCTCACTTTTCTACCCCAAAAGCATATATAATAATGCCAATTCTGAAGGTCGGATCGAAAGTTATGGCAGTTCAAAGTTTTCACAGACCAAAGTGATGAAAAAATTTATAACTCAGAATTGGCTTAAATTTTGCGAGCAACACCTTAAAATCGTGAAAAGACACCACACCAATTTGAAGATCAAAATTCAAAGGATAGCTATATGAACCACTAAAAGAAACTTTTGAAAAATAAGGCAATAAAGAAATAGAAAACGACCTCTTTTTGAAAATCCGAGCGTGACCAATGGACTCTATCGATTGGCAGGTGATAGATCTACTTTTCTACCCCAAAAGCATATATAATAATGCCAATTCTGACGGCCGGATCAAAAGTTATGGCAGTTCAAAGTTTTCACAGACCAAGGTGATGAAAAAATTTGTAACTCAGAATTGGCTTAACACTCCCTAAAATCATGAAAAGACAGCACACCAAATTTGAGAGCAAAATTAAAAGGATAGCTATATGAACCACTAAAAGAAAGTTTAGAAAAATAAGGCAATAAAGAAATAGAAAACGGCCTCTTTTTGAAAATCTGAGCGTGGCCAATGGACTCTATTGATTAGTAGGTGATAGATCTCACTTTTCTATCCCAAAAACATATATAATAATGCCAATTCTGACGGCCGGATCAAAAGTTATGGCAGTTCAAAGTTTTCACACACCAAAGTGATGAAAAAATTTGTAACTAAGAATTGGCTTAAATTTTGCGAGCAACACCCTAAAATCATGAAAAGACAGCACACCAAATTTGAGAGCAAAATTCTAGGTGATAGATCTCACTTTTCTATCCCAAAAACATATATAATAATGCCAATTCTGACGGCCGGATCAAAAGTTATGGCAGTTCAAAGTTTTCACACACCAAAGTGATGAAAAAATTTGTAACTAAGAATTGGCTTAAATTTTGCGAGCAACACCCTAAAATCATGAAAAGACAGCACACCAAATTTGAGAGCAAAATTCAAATGATAGTTATATGAACCACTAAAAGAAAGTTTAGAAAAATAAGGCAATAAAGAAATAGATAATGGCCTCTTTTTGAAAATCCGAGCATGGCTAATGGACTTTGTCGATTGGCAGGTGATAGATCTCTCTTTTCTACCCCAAAAGCATATATAATAATGCTAATTCTGACGGCCGGATCAAAAGTTCTGACAGTTCAAAGTATTCACAAACCAAAGTGATGAAAAAATTTGTAACTCAGAATTGGCTAAAATTTTGCGAGCAACACCCTAAAATCATGAAAAGACAGCACACCAATTTTGAGAGCAAAATTCAAAGGATAGCTATATGAACCGCTAAAAGAAAGTTTAGAAAAATAAGGCAATAAAGAAATAAAAGACGGCCACTTTTTGAAAATCTGAGCGTGGCCAATGGACTCTGTCGATTGGCAGGTGATAAATCTCACTTTTCTACCCCAAAAGCATATATAATAATGCCAATTCTGACAGCGGGATCAAAAGTTATGGCAGTTCAAAGTTTTCACAGACCAAAGTGATGAAAAAATTTGTAACTCAAAATTAGCTTAAATTTTGCGAGCAATACCCTAAAATCATGAAAAGACAGCACACCAAATTTGAGAGCAAAATTCAAAGGATAGTTATATGAACCACTAAAAGAAAGTTTAGAAAAATAAGGCAATAAAGAAATAGAAAACGGCCTCTTTTTGAAAATTTGAGCGTGGCCAATGGACTCTGTCGATTGGCAGGCGATAGATCTCACTTTTCTACCCCAAAAGCATATATAATATTGATATCCATCTGTCGCACCTCCCAATTGTAATGTACAGCTATAGCCAAGATGATCCTCACTGTACTAGCTTTAATTACAGGACTGAAAGTTTCATCAAAATCCACACCTGCAGTTTGTTGGAAACCTTTTGCAACCAGCCTAGCTTTTCTTCTTTCTATTGTTCCGTTTGCTTTGTACTTGGTTTTAAAGACCCATTTAGAGTCAATGACATTTTCCTGTCCTTGATAAGGTACCAAGGTCCAAGTTCCATTGGAAATTAAGGCTTTAAATTCAGAATTCATGGCTTGTCTCCATTCTGATCTTTTAAGAGCTTTTGTTACTGTCTCTGGTTCTTTCTCTTCCTCGTGTTTCTCAATTGTTCCAATGTAAGGAAGTTTCGGCTTGAGAATTCCCGCCTTGCTCCTTGTACACATCTTATGGGTGTTTGAGATTGGAATGGTGTTGCTGTCAACTGCTGCATCATCTGCTCTATTGCTGGTGTTTTGTGAGTTTTCTTCAGCTACTAGTTCAGATGAAGTTTCTGTTGGTTCTGCATCAATCTGTAGCTCATGAGTAGGTGATAAATTTTCTACTAGAATTTGTGTGTTGTAGTTGTTCTGATGTTGATCACCATCATTTTGTGTGCTACTATTGGATTGCTCTGCACTATTGATCTCTAAGTTTCAGATCCATGATTATGGCCAATCCCTGCAGGAATCAAAGGATAGAAAGAGGAAGCTGGTTCAGTAAAAATTTCTGCTGATTTTTGTTTGTGTAGGAATCCATCATGAAAAGGAAACTCGTGTTCATTAAGTATCACATGTCTTGAGATAAAGATTCTACCATTTGAGTTCATGCACTTGAATCCCTTATGAGAACTGTTATAACCAACAAATACACATTTTGTAGTGTGGTACTGCAACTTATGGGCATTATAAGGCTTGAGACATGGGTAACATGCACAACCAAAAGACTTTAAGTTATTATAATCAAGTTCCTTATTAAATAGTACTGAGAAGGGACTTTTATTCCTAATTATAGGTGTAGGCAACCTATTTATTAGAAACACGACAGTTGAGAAAGCTTCCCACCATAAATAAAGTGGAATTTTGGCTTGTGCTAATAGGGTAAGACCAAGTTCAGCAACATGTCTATGTTTTCTTTCTGCTCTATGTGAAGTCCCACATCGGTTAGGAAGGAGAACGAAGCATGCCATATATATGGGTGTGGATACCTTCCTTGTGTGGACGCGTTTTGGGGTGGCATGCGTGCCATTGCCAGAAGCAAAACCGTGAGGGCTGCGGCCAAAGCGGACAATATCCACATACGGGTCGCTGGGGTGTTACACTCTACCATTTCGTTGTGAAGTGTATGGATAGGACATTCTCAATTGGAAACCAGATTCCTGGACAATTTTTTGTAAACCTTTAAATTCACCTCAACCATCACATTGAACCACTTTAATCTTCTTATTAAATTGGTTTTCTGTTAACTTTTTGAACTGAATAAAGGCTTGCACAGTTTCAGATTTTTGCTTTAATGGATAAATCCAGGTAAAACTACTAAAATCATCAATGAAAATGTACATAGTACTTAAAACTAGAACAAGAATTTATTTGTGCAGGACCCCAAACGTCTGTATGAATTAACTCAAGGGGCTCCTGGGCATGAGACAAAGAAGATTTAAAAGGTAAAAAATGTGATTTTCCAAACTGACAAGCTTAACAAAAATTGAAATGATCATCCTTTGAAGTTTTGACATTGCAACTCCTTAAGACTTCATCCAAGACTTTACTGCTAGGGTGTCCAAGCCTTTTGTGCCAATTCTCCTTTACTGACAATGAGATATATGGGCCATCACTAGGTCGAGCATTGACACTAGAGAGTTGGTACAAGCCATCTCTAAGTTTCCCTTCTAGTAGAACCTTCCCTGTTAACTTGTCCTTCACAAAACAGTCACTTGCATCAAATTCAATTGTAATATTATTATCAGTAGCAAGTTTGGAGACACTTGATAAATTTTTAGTAATCTTAGGCACATATAGAAGATCATGTAGATTAAGGGATCTTTGACAAGTGTCTAAAGCTGCAGTACCATAAGCGTGTATTTTTAATCTCTCACCATTACCAACAACTAAAGAAGCCTTACCATCATGCTTAGAGATTTCCTGGAATTGATCAAGGTCATGTGTGACATGATTGCTAGCACCACTATCAAAGTACCACTCCGGGTCTCTAACTGAATTTGATGAGGCGTTGAAATTTGGTGAGGCAAAGAAGGCATTGTGCTTTTCCTACTTGTCATCAGAGGATTGGCCCATTATGACTTGGCAAACCTATAGAAGCAATGGACAACAATGTGGCCAATTTTTCCGAAACCCGCATGTTGGTTTGTCTGGGGACAGTCTTTCTCTTCCTCTACCACCTCTCGTACCTCTGAAATTATTACCTCTCCAACTTCCACGATTGTTAGATCGATTCACTTTTTGGTCAAAACTAGTTACAACATTTGCTGAAGGGCTAAGGGTCAGATTTGAAAGGGAATTTAGCTGCTCAAGTCTATTCTCAAATGCTAGGAGTTGTTCTTACATATCAATCCAAGTCAAGTCATTTTTGTCAGATAATTGAACAACTATAGCATTGTAGTCAAAATCCAAGCCAGCCAGAGTTTGAGTGATCAAATCAGTGTTGGAGATAAGACTTCCTGCAAGTTTGAGACTGTCCGCCAATGATTTCATCTTGATGAGATACTCCTCCATCTTCATTGAGCCCTTGCGAAAGCTATGGAAATTAGTCTTGAGTAGTGTCACCGACTAGGATTTGAGCACCTTCCCAAAGCTCTTTGGATGTTTCACTGTGCAGAAGCTGAGTGGCAACGCCTTCTGTCATTGAATTAAAAAGCCACCCTAATAGCTGTTGGTCGTTGGCTAACCATTCCTCATAAGCAGGATTGATTTTCTTTGTTGATTCTTCTGTAATGAATTGCTTAGGACACTCTTTTGTCCCAAAGATATAGCCATCGAGTTTGCTTCCTCGAATTATAGGCAACGCAAGAGATTTCCACAACAAATAATTGTTTCTGTCCAACTTGACAGAACACAATGAAGTTAGGGCATTTTTTTTATTTGAGTTGGCAGCAGAATCCATGGTTTGTTGGATCGGTAAAGAATCTATTAAGGATTAAAGCTCTGATACCAAGTTAGAATGATAGAGAAGTGGCAAAAAGTTGTAAGTTTCCATTGATCAGTATGCAATATATATACATCAACTTGATAATAGAATGCCTAACAATAAACTAAACAGATAAGATAATATTTCTATTATTGAACAGATAATAAACAACTAATTAGATATATTCTGATAGGAATATCAGAATATAACAGAATCTGTTATCCTTTAACAATTTGGAGCCCGAAGAAGTTAAACTATAAAATAATAGTTGGTTGTTTGAAGCTTTGAGAGGTTTTGTGTTCAAAAAATGTTTGGCTATTTACTTGAATAGGAAAATTAAGGAATATTTAGGTTAAGTCAGAAGTGATTTATGAAATAATACTTGTATTTTTGTAAAATATAATGAAACTTGATTAGGTTGATCACGAATAGAACATAATCTCGACAGTTAAGATAAGTTAAGTTAAATTACTACTTCAATGTATCAAAAAATGTGAACATTTGATTAACACTATTCAACCTTTCCTTTTAGTGTCTTTATTTTCTTCACACTCTACCTCTTTACTTGTTTAGTTTACCTTATTGTATATTATATTATGTTGTTGTACAATCTGTTGTAAAAACAAGTTTACTGAAAAACTTTTTTTTTTTAGAATAATACTCTAAGTTTAAATATCAAAAAGTTTATCTTCCAAAGAACAACTCTTCATAAAGAACTATTTTTTAAAGCATAAAACTATTTAACCCCTTTCTTTTAGCTTAACATTTACTTCAAATCACTCTTACAATTACAATTATAATTGTCCATAATTGTTTAGATTTTTAATAACTCATTTTTACTTATTTATTTATTATAAGATTGTTATTTTTTTTATGAGAAAAAAGGTTTCATAATTATAATATTTTCAATATTTTACCTTTTCAAACAATTATGAAATGCATGATAAAGTAAGAATTATTCAATTCATAAAGATACTCATAAATAAAATGTAAAATATTAAAAAATATAATAGAAATATTAACATGGACAACCGTGGATATTATTTTTCTCTCTGTTACAATCTTATATATATATATATATATTTATTTATTTATTTATTATATAATCTAATAATTATACACAAAAAAATATTAGAAATTATAGAAGATATAAGAATTTTTGTTTACATTTAAAGGTATAAAAGTTCACTAAAAAGTGGAGACCAAAAAGTAGTTACTAAAAGGTATCCCCTTTATAATAGGTACCCTTTATAATAGGTATACATTAGTATGACTAGTGTAACATGTAATCTCTTGTTATTTTGAAAAATAAAAATACCATTCGTGTCTATAATAATGTGGGTTGAATTTTAAATGTATATTTTTTAGTATCCAAGGTAAATATCCGAACCATTTTTTTGTATTAATAAACTTATCCATTATTCAAAGATTATAAAAATAATGCAAAAAGAATTTTATTTGATATTTAAACAATATTCAAATAATTTGAATTATTTATAATATTGTGGATTGAATTTAAATGTATATTTTTGAGTATTCAAGATAAATATCCAAACCAGTTTTTATGTTAATAAACTCATCCATTATTCAAAGATTATAAAAATAATGCAAAAATATTTTTATTTAATATTTAAATAATTTGAATTAATACAAATTTATATTAATATATAAAGAATACCCTCTAATGGATTAATTATAATACTAATTAAATTAATATATTTTTATTATTTAATTTTAATTTTATTTTTAATAAAAGTACGAAGTGGCTCAACTTCACTAATACAAATAACGTATACGGTCATAAATTTACATAGTAAAATTTCAACTGTTATATTTTTTAAAATGCAAAATAATAACCGGACTATAAGTATCATTAAAAGAATAACTCCACTGTTAATTTGTTATATAGGATATTCAACAAATTTTTTACACTTTCTAAAGTAGATATTCAAGCGGACTTTTACACTTTTCAAAGCAGAAAAGTAGAAGTAAGCGTGTTTGTTATATAGGATTTTTTACACTTTACCGTGAAATTTCGTTCAACCTGAAAGCAAACACACGCATAACCGTTACGAAAAACTGATGCACCGTAAATGATATATGCAGGTTTTGCACTAGCCAGCATCCTGATTTAAAAGAGAATTTTCGTCTTTTAGCCGATATGGCCCAATAGGAAATGGAGGGGGCATTCTGGTATGCACGTGTTCGTGCAAGAGTGTCGTTGTATGGATGAGTAGGGTTTTGCCTCTCAACACAACCACTCTTCCACTTTCTCATACCCATGCCCCCTTTGTCATTATTCAAGATGCTTTTGATAGATACAAAGGGATCTTGTTTAAGCATGGTGACATGTTCAATTTTCTCAACCCTGGACTTTCTCTCTCTGATAATGGTGCTGCCTCTACCATTGTTCGTGATACTTTTGATAAATACAAAGGGATCTTGTTCTAGCATGGTGACAGGTTCAATTTTCTCAACCCTGCACTTTCTCTCTCTAGAAATGGTGTTGCCTCTACCATTGTTCGAGATGCTTTTGATAGATACAAAAGGATCTTGTTTAAGCACGGTGACAGGTTCAGTTTTCTCTGAACACTCAGGCCTGCCTATGATGTTTCCCAAATGAACATCATTGTTCTTTCCGATATTGAAGAGGTGGGCCTTTTTCAATTATTTTTTGATTTCCCTTTTATGGTTTTTGATCAAGATTTTCAGAATGATAGTGATTCTGTTGTTGATGTTCTTGTTCTTTTACATGATAAATCTGGTCCTTGTCAGAGGTATGATGATGTCTTTTTGTATTCTCATTATCTTCCTTGATTGGTTTTCTATTGACAAATTTTGTACATCAACATTGTAGAAATAAGGGCTTTTCCATATTAAGTCAGTAGCGAGTCTCACCATCTCTTCTTGCCTTCCTTTTAGTTTCCTCTTATATTGTTAAGGCTTCTTTTGATGTGAAAAGATATATTATTATGATTCCAGGTGTATATGCTTCGATTACTAACATAATAATTATTGACCTTGGTGTTCATAAATTTGAGTTTGTTTTTAATGGATTTCTTGCAGGTCCAATTTGACACCATGGATTTATCTGGCAATGAGATTGTCAAATTGGAAAATGTGCCATGATCTTAACCGGTTGGGTACAAAGCTCATTAGTAACAATAGGATTACTAGAATTAATCTCAACATTGGAGGTCTGGTTTGAACTTTGAAATGCACATCCTCTTTCCATTATTGATGTCTTTCCTTCTAGTTGTAAGCTACACAATGTGGTTATCTAGATTATTGTTGCATTTGTATTGTAGAATTTTTTCCAAAACTAGACACTAGTTCTCACAAACAACAGAATTGTAAACTTGGTAGAAATTGATCCTTTAGCATCCCTTTCAAAGCTGTAGTTACTTGGTCTGTCAGACAACAATATTACTAAAAAAGCAAATTGCAGGCTTTATGTTATTAACAAGCTGAAATCCCTCTGGGTTTTGGATTTCAAATAATTGAAATATAAGGTAATGTTTTACTTTTCACCATGTGGATTTTATTGGCTTGTTGTTTGCAATATGAAAGATACGATGTTCCGGTTCAATTAGAAAATCTGCATTTTAAACTTCAGTAACAGAACTACCCTTGGCTTGCACTGAACACCAAGTCCAAGTGTGGAAATTTTACTACATATAGATGTAGATTATAAAACAAAGATTAGAAAACAATTATTTGTCACTTGTTTCATGAATCTATACATTATCTCTAAAGTGATATAGATTTTCTGTTTCTGTACACATAAAAGAAGAAAAATTTTCTCTTATAAATTTTTTCTAACTGGACTGCCTCTGCCACCTAAATGTTTAGATAATGGCCTCTTTTTGAAAATCCGAGCATGGCTAATGGACTTTGTCGATTGGCAGGTGATAGATCTCTCTTTTCTACCCCAAAAGCATATATAATAATGCTAATTCTGACGGCCGGATCAAAAGTTCTGACAGTTCAAAGTATTCACAAACCAAAGTGATGAAAAAATTTGTAACTCAGAATTGGCTAAAATTTTGCGAGCAACACCCTAAAATCATGAAAAGACAGCACACCAATTTTGAGAGCAAAATTCAAAGGATAGCTATATGAACCGCTAAAAGAAAGTTTAGAAAAATAAGGCAATAAAGAAATAAAAGACGGCCACTTTTTGAAAATCTGAGCGTGGCCAATGGACTCTGTCG